CCGCCTCGCCCGCCGAGCCCAGCGCCTCAACGAGGCGCTCGGGAGCGACCGGCGCGGCCTTCGCCTGCTGAATCACGTGAACTGTGAACAACGCATGCCACACGCGCGAGCGATAGACGCACGCATGGCGCCCCCCCTCCGCGCACGCATTTCTACGCGCGATGAATCCGCCGACTACACGATGGGCACACCCAGTCCAGCACACGTGAAAACGAATACCAAATTTGCACGCGCCAGACGCACGTTCAACATATCCCCATCCAAGCACGGACTCGTGCGCGCAAGGAACCACCATCACATGCTGGACATCCCCTCTCGCGCCTACACACGCGAAGACAAGGGAGGGGCGAAGTGACGTGTTTGTGCTAGAGGAGCACAGTCGGCATAGACATGAACATTCGAAGTTCCGCGCGGATCTTGTAGCTGCTCTTCTTCAACGCATATTTCCACCAAGCTCAATGCACTGGGCGTATCCGAACGCACTCTCAAGTTCGTCCGCCCTGAGCTACTGTCAGTAGGGACAACGCATGAATACATAATCCATCACATGTGTCTGACCTTTCTTCGCACCTGCGTTTGCAACCTGACGGGCACTGACCATAGATTACGCTTGGGCGTTTTCCAACCACTGGGAAGAACCCCCCTTATCCAAAGTTCCGTTGAACTTGAACCCTGGCTCGCCTACGAAGGCGGCCAGGTTCCCGTCAATTCGTCAAGCCGCGACCCCCCGGAACCCGGACATGGCCACCGTCAAACGAAAAGTAGGCGCCAAGCACGAAGGGCAAAGCACATGGACAGCGCATCCTTCGAAAGTGGAGAGAGACTTCCTCCGGTGCAGGAGCCGCCCCCCTCCGAGAGAAGCCCGCGGGGCCGCGATCTCACCAGTTCCTCGCCCACGCTGCCTCGCGCCGCTCGGCACCTCGGAGGCCGGCCGCGCTGCGAGGGCCCCGCCCCCGTCCAGCCGCGGGCCCGACGGCGAGGCACGCAAAATTTGCGCGTGCGCCCGGCCACGCACACGCTTCGGCGGCGAGCCCAGGGGGGAGAAGAAACGAGCGGTGCCGGCCCTTCTCGGGAGGCTCGGACTTTTCTGAACCATCCCCGAAGACGTGGATGACGTCCCAGAAGGCCGGGGGGCCTCCGAGAAGCCCCGCCGCATTCTGAGACGGCCTGCTCCTTCTCACTTCCCCTCTGGGCGCGACGTCACCCCAAATCGCAAGGCCGCCGTCGTGTTACGAACGCCTTGCGCTGTGCGCCGACTCGAGACCCAAACGAGTTCATGCACGCGTGCGTTTTTGAATCGCTCCCGAGATCAGGGCGCCAGGGGAGGCGGGGAGAGTCAGTGAAGAGGCAGACCGACCCCGGACCCTGCACACATATCCTCTCCCAGGGGCATTTGGTTTTTCGTGCTGGCGGCTGCCGCTGTCACTCGAACTGCCTCTCCTGCCTAAGCGTCTTTGCGGTGCGTCGTTCCTTCCATTCCTCTTCCTTATGAATTACTTCCCCTGTCGCACCCAGGAGGCAATTAGGAGGGGCGGGCCGGGCGTTTCGCGTGAGACTCCCGTATCGCTTATGAGCCTGAGGTTTAAAAAACTGGCAACATAGAGGGCGGGTGGTTTTCAAAATGAGGCTTTCGCACTGGCGCATTACACGTTCCTCTTCAAAATTTAAAAGAGTTTCATGTATTGAATGCGGGTGGTTTTCAGCATGTGGCTCTCGCCTTAGCGCCGCTAACATTCGTTTCAAGATTGTTCACGAGCTTCACGGATTGACGGATAGTGGTTTTCAAGATGTGGCTCTCGCCTTAGCGCCGCGCCCATTCATTTTAAACGATGCAAGAATTGCACGGATTGAGAGCGGCTCCTTTTCCGTATGTCGCTCTCGCCTCAGCGCCGCGCACAATCGTTTCAAAAAAATACAAGATGTCACTGGTTCCCGTGGTTCACGTACCAGAAGTTTCACTCTGAAGCGACTCAAGATAGTGGTTGATTCGCGGTGCTGAAGTCCCAAGAACGGCTGGCACAATTCATGATTCGCCAAGACACAGCAGTCAGAATGGTTCGCGGCGTTGAATTCCTGAGAACGGTGTTTTGGCACGCTCGGATTCTCTCACGGTTGTCCCCTGACGGGCAATTCCTTCAGTAGAAGTGAGCTTCTGCAGACGCCTATGACAAGGGAGCTTGGAGGGAAGGTGTATTTCAACATCGTTGATGAGTCTTGGGTTTACACCTCATCCTCCGCCCCCTCCTCCTCCTCCTCCTCCTCCTCCTCCTCCTCCTCCTCCTCCTCCTCCTCCTCCTCCTCCCCCTCCTCCATTCCTTTCCCTTATATATATATATATTATATATATATATAATTGTCTTATATGTTTTGATGTTGCACCCCCCCCCCCCCCAAAAAAAAAAAAAAACTCCTCCCTGTCGCACCCCGAAGCCACTCGAAAGGGACGGCCGGGCGTTTCGCTTGAGGCTCCGTTACACTTTATGACCCTGGAGCTGGAAAACTGACAACCGCTGCACCGATGGAAAACGGGCCACTTCCAAAATGTGGTTCCGGCCTTAGCGCCGCGCGTAGTTGTTCACACATTTGCAAGCGCTTCACAACTGGAGGGCGGGTGGTTTTCAAGAGGTAGCTCTCGCCTCAGCGCCACGCACACCCTTTTTTAACGGTACACGAGCTTCACGGATTGAGGACGGGTGGTGTTCAAAATGCGGTTCTCGCCTCATCGCCGCGCACACTGCTTCTAAAAGTTGGAAGAGTTTCAAAATGTGGCTGACGCCTTAGCGCCGCGCACATCGAAAAAATAAGCAAAAGCTGCACTGATTGAGGACGGATCCTTGTTAAAATATGGCTGTCGTCTTAGCGCCGCGCCAGTTCGCTTTAAACATGTGCAAGAATGCCAGTGGGTCCCATGGTGATCGTATCAGAGTCAAACTGTTATGGACTCAGGACTGTCAGGGCTCACCAATTGCGCTGACTCGCAGCGTCGAAGTCCAAGGAATGATGTTCTGGCACGATCCAGGATCGTCAAGACGTAAAGTCAAGTTGATTCGTGGCGTTGAAGTCCCGAGAATGAAGTTTTGGCACGCTTCAGCATCTTCGAACGCTTGTCTCCCAACAGGGCACTTCCCTGTGGAAGTGAATCCGTGTAGGGGCCCATGGAGAGGGAGCTTGGGGAGAGAGTTCAATCCAACATCGTTGATGAGTATTGGGTTTGCGCTGGTCCGCCTCCTCCTCCTCCCCCTCCTCCTCCTCCTCCTCATCATCATCATCATCCTCCTCTCCTTACCAGGGGGAGGAGGATCATGAGGATCGAGTGCCAAGCGACGATCGCAGACCCAGGTATTTCTCAACTTTTGGGCCCCGATCTGGGCCTGCGGAAGCCGCTGCAGCCCTCTAAAAAGCTCAGGAAAACTGCCAGAGACACACGAAACCCGCTTGTCCGCCTCCTCCTCCTCCTCCTCCTCCTCCTCCTCCTCCTCCTTCTCCGCCTCCTCCTTCTCCTCCTCCTCCTCCTCCTCCTCCTTCTCCGCCTCCCCTCCTCCTCCTCCTCCTCCTCCTCCTCTCCTCCTCCTCATCCTCCCTCCTCCTCCTCCTCTCCTCCTCCCTCCTCCTCCTCCTCCTCCTCCTCCTCCTCCTCCTCCCCTCCCCCTCCTGTTTCCCCCCCCTCCCCCTCCTCCCTCCTCCTCCTCCCCTTCCTCCTCCACCCCTCCTCCTCCTCCTCCTCCTCCTCCTCCTCCTCCTCCTGCTCTTCCTCCTCCTCCTTCTCCGCCTCCTCTTCTCTCCTCCGTCCTCGTTCGTCTCTCCTCTTTCCTCTCTCTTCTCTCCGCTCGCCTCTATCCTCCTCCACTCCTCTTTCTTATGAATACGAGGCTAGTGTTAGGGCGGGCTGGGCGTTTCGCCTGAGCCTTCCTCACCATTTATGACTCGGAAGCTTCAACATTGGCAACAGTTTCACAGATGGAGGGCGGGTCGTTTTCAACATGTGGCTCTCGCCTTAGCGGCGCGCACACTCGTTCTTAACAATTGCAAGAGCTACACGGATTGAGGATAACCCGTTTTCAAAATGTGGCTCTCGCCTTAGCGCCGCGCACATTCGTTCTAAACATTTGCAGGAGTTTCACGGATTGAGGGCGGCTCATTTTCAAAATGTGGCTCTCGCCTTAGCGCCGCACACATTCGTTCTAAACATTTGCAGGAGTTTTACGGATTGAGGGCGGCTCATTTTCAAAATGTGGCTCTCGCCTTAGCGCCGCGCACATTCGTTCTAACGTGTGCAGGAGCTTCACGGATTCCCAGGATCAACGTACCAAAAACGGTGTTTGGGAAGGATTCAAGATCTTGCGGGTGCAACAGTTACATTGATTGACGGTGTTGAAATCCCAAGAATGGCGTTCTGGCACGATCCAGGATCGTCAAGACGCAGCAGTCAGGTTGATCCGTGGCGTTGGAATCCCGAGAACAATGTTTTGGCATGCTTCCCGGTCTTCAAACGGTTGTCTTCCAGCGAGGCAGATCCCTCAATGGAAATGAACCGTTGTAGGGGCCTATGAAGAGGGGGCTTGGACGGAGGGTGTATTCCATCATGGTTGATGGCTCTTGGGTTTACACTGGTCCTCCTCCTCGTCCTCCTCCTCGTCCTCCTCCTCCTCCTCGTCTACCCTCCTCCACCCCCTCCTTCCTATCGTCCTTACCCTTTTCTCCTCCTTATCTTCATCATCCTCCGCCTCCTCCGCCTCCTCAGCTTCCTCCCCTTCCTCCTCCTCCTCCTCCTCCTCCTCCTCCTCCTCCTCCTCCTCCTCCTCCTCCTCCCCCTCCTCCTCCTCCTCCTCCTCTTCCTCATAGTTACTCCTCCTCCTCTTTCTCCTCCTCCTCCGAAACCAACAGAAAATAACTCAAAAACGGCAATGCAACTGTGACTGCTCGCTCTCCGGCCTTGGGGAAGCCTCTACACTTCCTGCTGGTGCCCCCCTGGCCCTCGTGGTGGCCGGCCTGCCACGGGC